CTTTCAGACTCCCTCTTATATACGCATTCCTAACCTTGTCCATCCGAGTCACACCATACATCCATCTCAGCATTCGCATTTCGGCTACGTTCAGCTGTCTCTCATCCGTTCTCTTAATGGTCCAACTTTCAGAACCATACAGTACAGTAGTTCTGATGATAGTTTTGTAAATTTGTCCCTTCAGTGTTAGGGGAAACCAAATTGTCCCCGTTACCTGCCGCCACTTTATCCATTCCGTATTGATTCGACGCTGTACAGTTTTATTAAGAATAATAAAATAAAACTGTATAGGATTTCGATAAAAGTAGCAAAATTATGTTGGAGTCGGTGACAATTACCTCCATGAAGTCGGTCGGCATTGGTTTATACAGGTTAACTCTTGAATTTTGTCATAATTTAATAAATATCTGTATTACTGATTGAATTTAAAATTTAACTATTAGAGCATAACGCAAGACTAACAATTAAACACCGACATTTTACAATGATTAAAGTAACAAAAATATTATTTTTGGAGACGGTGCGTCAAATCTTGATCGAGTCGGTGCATATTTCAACGCTTTAAGGGCTGTTTGATTCGGTGCTAAGCTATGAGTCTTCTAAGCTGTAACAAAACAGCTTAGAAACGACTTCAACACAAATATTGTAATTTGTTTACCTATCAATTGCACTTAAGATGGTATTACATGTAATTGTGCAGGAAAATCCGAGAGCCTTAAATGGAGCTGCATACGGGTCGTGGCAGAATACTCTGGCTTCTGTAAAGTATAGGAAAGTTTTTATAAGTAATTTTTTTTATGGTAGAGGGACATGAACACCTGCATCTCAATAGCCTTTTTGTCCTCTCCCAGAACTAGGGAGAGAAGAGGGGGTTTGGGCTCTGGTTACCTCACTCTCTCTGTGCAAAGCAAGGATAAAATCGCTTTACACCGATTTTGCGTGAGGCGTTGGTATTACACCGGTCGAGTTGACCCATTTGTGTTTAAGCGGCCTCCTCCGTATTCATCAGGTCTAACCTGGCCCTTTTTCAGTACACTGCCGATCTATATCATCATCGTCAACAGCCGCTAACAGTCTACTACTGGACATAGCCTCTTCTGAGAAAAGAGGTTTAGCCTACTATAACAGTACCATACCGTATACCACCCGGTGGTGTAGGGTTTGTTTCAAGTTTTCCTTTTCTTTGTAGTGCTATTGTCCCTATATAGTGTGTTCCCTAATTCGACTCTTACGACACCCACGTGATGAATAGTTGTGGTCACCACACGGACAGTCATGGTGACTCTCCGTGTGGTGACCACAACTATCTAACTATCTATCGCTGATCTATATAGTTTATATCGGAGTCCGTCCACACCAACTCGCCAGCTCACATGATCCTTTCGCTCTTTGACCTTCTTATTAACATACCAAACTCATATTCCTTCATTCTTGTCACCACATCTTTGAACCCCCAACACGTTCTCACCTCACTCTATCAGTCAATCTTTAATAACACATACTTCTTGGTAAGCACATTTCCACTTACTAAGGTCTTTCTGGGTATTTGATGGACTTTCTTTTATCAGTTTGTGTTTGAACCCCTGCACTGGCTTAAGTCACGTTGCTTTAGTCCCGATGATGACTTGCCACACATTATCATCATCCCTAGTAGTCCACTGCTAGATATAGGCCTCTTCTTAGTAAGGAGGTTTTGGCCTACTATACTACGTTAATAATAATATATCCCACACACGACCGTCTGATCCTAAACTAGGGCCTGTGCTATGGTAACCAGACTGCTGATAAACATACTTAAATGTATATTTTTAAATAGATACATATTATAGATAAATTACACGCAGATACAGAACAAATGACCGTGCTCATCACACAAAATTTGTCCTGGGTGAAATCGAACCCACAACCTCAGGTTTAACAGCAGTTCGCGTGCATACAGACAGACAGACGCGGCCGTAGGACTTCATTTTAGAAGATGTAAGGTTTAAAATATGTGTAAAAATATACCTGCAATGCTGATTGTTAGTGCCACTAATGATGAAATAAGCATGGTGCTTGTATTAGCTTTATCAAAGTTAATGGCAAAATATCAAGAACATAAAAGTACAAAGCAATTATGGCGGTTTATGACTTAATTGATTTGTGTGGGTGAAATCTATACCTACATATAAAAAAAATAGTTTAAAAAAACTGAAAACACGCTTTTTATAGAAAACCAAACTAAAAAATAGAAAATAAATTTGAATAAATTTGAAAAAAAGCGTTGGGTGCCTGTTGTCAATGGTAAAAAGCACCCCAGTTTTTTAAAACTATTTTTTTTTTAATTAGTGTATTGTCATCGGTCCTCGATATATCTACAAAGTTTGAACGAATTCTGACCGTTTAAAGTCAGTCAAAATCACGCCCAAAGTAGTCGGTTACAAACAAACAACAACAACAATACAAGTGAAGCTAATATAAAGCGTGTAATGACTTGCCCTGGTTGACTGATTCATCAACGCAAGAGCCTAAACCGCTGAAGCTACGAACTCGAAACTTTGGCACCTGTTGCTTTTTATCTATACTAATTAATATTATAAAGCTGAAGAGTATGTTTGTTTGTTTGAACGCTCTAATCTCAGGAACTACTGGTCCGATTTGAAAAATTCTTTCAGTGTTAGATAGCCCATTTATCGAGGAAGGCTATAGGCTATACTACGCTAAGACCAATAGGAGCGGAGCACCAATGAAGAATGTTTCAAAAACGGAGAAAATTTATTACTATTGAGAGACGCAGACGAAGTTGCGCGGGTCAGCTAGTATATATATATATATATAGCTAGTAAAGTATATCACATAAAAGAGACGAAAAAAAGAAGAAAAGGAACGTTCTTATCATTGTACTACTCGACCAAGAGTTTAAACCAACGCGTGGAACGCAGCCTCCCCGCCCGAACCTCGCCTCAAGTACCGCGATCGTCTTAGTACCGTCGGCAAGGTTGCTACCGCACGTGTTTAATTTGCTTCTGTTAGTTTCCATTCGTTTGTTAAGTTTATTATAATCTGTTAAATTGTTGTTAGTTATTAAAGCTGTTGGTATTTTGTGGAAAATGGGGAAAATTAAACAATACATAGTGGACATCGAGAAATAATATTTAGAGTGATCAATTTCTTTGAAGAAGAAAAGAAAAGGGGCTTATTCCTACTCGTACTATGGTTACTAGACAACCGATAAACGTACTTATATACTTTTGATTTATAAATATATACTTAAATTATAATACATAGAAGCACCCAGAACCGGAATAATTAAATATCTGTAGATAACGTAAATAGCTAATCAAATTAAATAAAAATTAAATTAATTAAATAAAAAACCCGTGTGGTGTCGTGGGACACCCGATAGGAACGAAGTTGTGACGATCGAGTAAAACTGATTCGACACGATTTTAATTACAACGCCATCTATGAAAGCGGCTATTACCTACATATTTTTCAGTTGGTTGCTAATTAAAACGATTTATACATTGGTAAAATCTCCTTGAGAAATGATGTCGAATACAATATTTTTTGCTCAACCTAAGAACATAAATTTTAATTTTACTGAGATGAAAAGTAAAGATTTTCTATCTATTCGATAGATGGCGCTGAACAACTTTTCGTGAGAATTTTTTCCGTCTAGCCCCCTTTCACAACGCGCGATAAGGAACTTCGTTCCAAAAAAACACCTATCGATCATTCGAATTCTTCTGCTATCTGTACCCAAAGTCAATGACGTCACGTTTGACAGTCGTCTAGTTCGCTTGGTCGTGTAGTAAGCAACCATGAAGATAGGATTTTTGTAAATTTCTAACTTAATAGGATTAAATAAAGGATGAATGGAAATTCGTAATTTTCAAACTGACTTGACTGCACGGGTGGCGTAGTGGTCCAAGCGGTCGCCACGCCGCTTACTACTACGCTGAGTGTTGTGGGTCCGATCCCCACATGGGACGACACTTTGTGTGATCCACAAATTGTTGTTCTGAGTCTGGGTGTCTTTTGTGTCCGTTTCATGTATGTTTGTAAAGTCCCCCGCGACATGGGGTTTATTAGAATTAAAAGAAAAGTTAGAAACACGAAATAATTAAATAATCACGCGAGCGAAACTGCGGCTAATAGCTAGTTATGAAATTATTTTAGAAACGGTTTTCCGTAACTCAGAATTACTCTGTCGTATTCGAGCTGATACGTTGTCACAATACGTACGAAGCCCTGGTCCAGATTCGGTTAGTATGTGGGTGACCACATAACAATATATTTCTAAGCCGTGGGAGAGCCATGGCTTAAGTGTATTTGGGCCGGCTCGAATAGTTACCATTCACCGAGTGAGTTAACTGGCCCAACCTTACTCCTACCCCTATTTCAAGAGGAGAGGGGGAGACTGACGATTGAGTCGTGGGTGTCCACCGGTAGCGGTAGTCACTTACTATCTGGTTGACCCGTCTGATCGTATATATATCAAAAGTTTGTGTGTCAACTCCGACGCACGACTGCACACAAGTATACAAGTTACACACACATAATGTGAAGATAAGTTGCGCACAAAAAACGTAACGAGGTCATTCGATGACTAAATTTTACTCTTCATATTTTTTTCATATCGGGCGCCTTATATGAAAATCGTTTCTTAAGAAGTAAACTCTAAAAACAATTCAAAGTAATACTGGAACATTTAAAGGATAATATAATACCATAAGCATAAAAAATAAATAATATAATAAATATAATATATTCTACCACATACACACAACGCCATCTAGTCCCAAACTAAGCAGAGCTTGTACTATGGGTACTAGACAACTGATATAAATACATATATACTTTTTTTTTGTAAATCAAACCAAATCAAACATCAAATGTTCATGCACACAAATGTTTGACCTGAGCGGGAATCGAACCCGCGACCTTTGGAATAGCAGTCCGTTACACAAACCACTACACCATCCAGTCGTCAATAGCTTCAAACGTTTTTGTTTTAGACGAAAAGCCGTACCAATGCAAGTTTTGTGATTACGCATGCAGAGACAATTCGACGCTGAGACGACACCAAGATAGGCATATGGGCATCCTCAAGAAATATCCCTGCACTGTATGTAAAAAGATGTAAGTATATACTAATTCTAAATTCCTCGCATTTTTTAGTAAAATAAACATCTGAATATTACTCCGTTCATCCGTGTGGTGACGGATTAAGAATACAGAGTGTCACCACCCCTATTCATCCCATGGGTGTCATAAGAGCCGACTAAGGGCGCAAAACAACGCAGGACACCAGCACTGCAAAGCGTGGTATAGCAGGCCAAAACCTCCTTTCTAAGGAGAGGCCTATGTCCAGCAGTGGACTATTAAAGGCTGTTGATGTGATGATGTGACTCTTCATTTCGATTATGCGTTACGGCCATGTGTGAAATGTTCGTGGTTACATTAATATCATGTAAATAAAATTCTAACGAGCGCCATATTGATTTAGAAAAGAACTAACAATTTACTTTCCGTATTAATTAATCATGTTTTCAAAGATTGAATTTGTCAACAGTTTCAATACGAATAAAACAAAACAGCTGCACATGGACGAAGTACATTACGGGCTGGATACGCGAAGATTTCCTTGTGAAAAATGCGACAAAGCGTTCAAGACCAAAACCGCTTTAAATCTACATGTGGTAAGTATAGTCGCCATGAATTACTTCCAGAGGTCCTGAGGAGGTAACGGATTAAGAAGTCAGAAGTGTCACCACCTCTATTCACCCCGTGGGTGTTGTAAGAGCCGACTAAGAGAGCAAACGACGCAGTACAACAAAGAGAAGGAAAACTTGAGACAAACCCTATACCAATCCGTCTGGCTAGTGTGGTATAGTAGGCCAAAACCACATTTCTAAGGAGAGGCCTTTGTCCAGCTGTGGGCTAGTAAAGGCTGTTGGTGATGAGAATAGCTTTTTATAAAAGACAACTCCAGCATTAGGAACATATCCTGTGTCGCGTTTGACTTTACAAACATACATGAAATGGACACAAAGAACACTCAGGACAACAATTTGTGGATCACACAACGTTTTGATAAAAGAAAATTATTTTCTTCTCCCTTTCTGAGGTCATTAACTAGTTTATGTTTATTAATTTCGACAGCAAAACATCACCGCGATACAGAAAAAAAAATACAACGCCATCTATCGGACACCATGTTCAACTATTGACGTTGAGCTTATTTTTTTTAAAAGACAACTCAACACTATCATTTTTTCATGTGTCTTGACTTTAGAAACACACGAAACGGACACAAAGAACACCCGAACTCGGAAGAACTATTTGTGGATCACACAAAGTGTTGTCCAAAGTAGGGATCGAACCCGCAACACAGCGCAGTAGGAAACGTAACCGCTTAAACCACTTCGCCATCCGTACAGCCAAGTAAGCTATATATCAGTGTGAATGTATTAGAATAATGGTTCCTTTTTAGAAAACAGTCCACGACAAAGCGTTGCGTACCGAATGCGAGATCTGTGGCCGTAATATCAACAAGAACAATATGAGCACCCATCTTCAGTCTCACGTGGACATCAGACCCTACAAATGCAGCTACGCACCCTGCTCCAAGAGATTCAAAGATCGGGTAAGATCCCTACAATACTTTAGCAGGTTCCAGGTTCGAATTCAGTACATCCCTATGTACTATACAAACTCTCGTATCAATTTCAACCTTCAAAAATAGCCTGTTTGGCGACTTCCACGTACCATGAAACAAAAACATACTACAACGCCATCTAACGAAGCCACACCGAACTACGTAGTAACTGGTAATCCTGTATCGCAATATGAGTATTTCCGTTGCCGATTAGCATATGTACAACTTTCCAACATCAATCATTGGGTCGGAGGATCCTCACTTTGCGATGGAGAGACATGACACCCGTTCCTCCACACCTGTCTTATACAAAATTGGTGTTTTTTTTTTTCATGATATACTGAAGCAATCGGGTCACCTGATGGTAAGTGTAACTCTTCCAGGTTACCGGAGCACCCTCCCCCCTTCGATGTGTCCATAGGCGGCAGTAGTCACCATCACGTAACATATTTTACCCTAGCACCTCGCTTTAGCAGAAATGGGGGAGGGAGGTTGGCTTAAGGGGGACGATGCCTGACCTGGTGTGTTGTATCTCTTGAGTTGCACACTGAATCAATAGTCAGTCAGGTGACCCGTCCGCTATCAAAAAGAGATGTTCAATTTCAAAGTATTTGTTCCTACAGAGCACTCTCAGGAAACACACGTTAATACATTATCCAGAATACCACTACCAGTGCGACTTGTGTGACAGCAAGTTCCCGCGCAAGTCCAGGCTGAGGGAGCACAGGATGAGACACGTCTCCGAGGGGGGGTACACCTGTGACTATTGTGGAGTCTCGTAAGTTAATTTTACTTAATCTTTAAAACGTACGTGTGGTGACGGGATTTAGAATACGGAGTGTCTCAACCTCTATTCATCCCGTGTCCAAACTACGCAGGACAACAGCACTGCAAAGAGAAGGCAAACTTGACACAAACCCATCAGGCCAGCGTGGTATAGTAGTCCAAAACCTCCTTTCTAAGGAGAGGCCTATGTCCAGCAGTGGACTGTTATAGGATGTTGATGCAATATTTAGCAATTAGCTATATTTAGTACGTAAAAAGTGGTAATAATGTGATTGTTTACGTATTCGATCTCAGACCAGGGATATTCTATGGAACCACTGACGGTAGGAAGCAGATAAGTCGTGGGCATTTTATAATAGAATTTAAAACTCGAGGATATTTCGCTGTGATCTCAAAGTAGGGGATGGTCTGCTTCCGAATTAAAAGAAAAGAATCTCCATTGGGTTGCATTTTCTTTTCATTGTTAACTCAGAACGCGGTAATTTATGAACTGTCGGGATTCTTCATCCCTTCATTTTCAACCTTTAGGGTGGTCTTCAAAGGAGATTGCCAGCGGACGGTTCCTGTTTTGTTTTTTTTTTTTGTGTGCAAATCTATTCGAATACCACCCACCGGTAAAATCAGTAGGCGGGGAACCTGAGGGCCCACTCTCGTAATAATAGTTAAGTTCAGATGAATCGGTAATCTGCTATAGTCCATCAACGTCGTGCGCGACCGTCCTGCGGGGTGACAGACGGTGGCGGGGACGAGGTACTCAAGATGTCAGCGGGTAGCGGGTGGTGTAGCGGGGAAGGGAATCGTGTGTAGCCGTGTGCTAGAATGACGCGCTACCTCGCCCCCGCCACTGTCTGTCACCCCGCGGGACGGTCGCGCACGAGATTGCCTGGTTAAAATAGTAAAGTAATCCTTTACTATTTTACTACGAAAATACCTTTTATGAGAGTCGTGAGATCGAAAGTTGATCGGAACTGAATTGTGACCTTACTTTTATTGCGAGAATTGGCCTTCTGGATGTTTTCCTTTTATTACGAGCTGGATGCGAGAAGCCCAAAATCGATCTTAGTGGTTTGCAATAGGAGAGGCCTATGTCCAGCAGTAGACTGCGATAGGCTGATGATGATGATGTAGTGGGTAATACAGTCCGTCCGTTGCAGGTTCGTAAAGAAATCATACCTCACGTTTCACATCAGAAAAACCCATAAACAAGAAAGAGAGAAATTTGTTTGCGACGACTGCGGCTTAATAACTTACAATAAGAAATGTATAATTCTACATCTGAGATATGGGCATGGAACTAAACAGGTGAGCTTTTTTTGAAACGCTTTTATTAGCTTCTCTAAGGGTTCGCATCAGGAATGAGGTGATCCGGCAGAGAACCAAGGTCACTGGTCAGTTAATTAATTAATTTTTTCTATTTACCCTCAAAAAAATCTCTTACATCATAATAACATATTTCAATGAGGCAAGCCTGTGGATGTATTTTTTTTTAAATAGAATTATGTTTGACGGGCCTGTTGGTCTAGTGGTTGGTGATTCGATTCCCGCCCAGGACAAATATTGTGTGATGAGCACGGTCATTTGTTCTGTGTCTGGGTGTAATTTATCTATAATATGTATATATTTAGAAATATATAAGTATATTTATCAGGAGTCTGGTTACCATAGTACAGGCGGCTCTGCCTAGTTTGGGATCAGACGGCCGTGTGTGGAACGTGTGATGTATTAAAAAGAAAAGAAGAGATTTCTCTCTTTCGAAACTCGTTAATAAAATCGAAACGACACATTAGACTAGTGATCGTACAAGAATAATACACATATACATGTTTTTCATTTAATGTCGTTTTCATCATGTGGAAGTGGACAGTAAATTGTTTCTAATCCATCAAAAGAGATTTTTTTTTTACGAGTTTCGATAGAAGAAACATTATTCTTTTTAATTCTTTTCTTTCTTCTTTTTAGTTATTTTTTCTTTTTAGTTCTTTTCTATCTTCTTTTTAGTCTAGTTTATTTAGTCATATAACCAGTTCTAACGTTTGAATTATATTTTCCAGGACAGGAAATGCTCAATATGTGGGACTATTTCAGATAATATCTACAGTTTAAAAGAACATTATTTTATGTTACATAGAGTTAAATTCGTCGTAATACAGAAGTAAGTATCTTCTTGAAATATTCCATGCTAACTGGTACCCGCCACTTCGAATTTGAAAAGCACTGCTCTTGCGCAGCGGGCAAAGTTTTATGGGGTTTCTCTGAGAGGAAAAGGTCCCCAAGTTACTCCTTATTATTATTATTCGAACAAGTGTGGTGTACTACCGCCGCCAATGGACACTTGCAACTCCCAAGGTCACAAGTGAGTTAACGCTCTTTGACCTTTCCTTACCCCCAAGAATCTGAGGTGGGGGGGTCATCAACCACGGAAACCGGTGTTAAGCTATTCTTTCATTGCTGTTCAGTTACAGTGAGGTTACAGTAGTTCCTAATTTGTGGGGGGGGGGGGCTTAAACAGCAGAGCACTTGTAAATCTTGAGTTGTAAGTGTTCATGGGTGGCGGTAGTTTTAATGAAGTGAAAACTCCTTTAGGCGCGTTGGGCATTTTTGGACAAAAGAACTCGCGACACTGTTACCGTTACCGATACCTCTGTATATAAGTATCTATATACTAGCTGACCCGCGCAACTTCGTCTGCGTCTCTCAATAGTAATAAATTTTCTTCGTTTTTGAAACATTCTTCATTGGTGCTCCGCTCCTATTGGTCTTAGCGTGATGATATATAGCCTATAGAATTCCTCGATAAATGGGCTATCTAACACTGAAAGATTTTTTTAAATCGGACCAGTAGTTCCTGAGATTAGCGCGTTCAAACAAACAAACAAACTCTTCAGCTTTATAATATAAGTATCTATATATATTGGCCCCGTTCATACGAGAGTTGAGTTTGGGTTGAAATACATTCAGGTCGGAACTTTTCGAGATCAAAAAAAAACTGTTATAATTAAAAATTTTCACTCCCGGAGTGTCACTGTTTTTTTATGGATGAGGAGGCAAACTAGCAGACGGGTCACCTGATAGAAAGCGACTACCGCCGCAACTCAGGAGACAAGCGCGTTGCCGGCCTTTTAAGAAGGAGTACGTTCGTTTCTTGAAAGTTTAAAGGTCATATCGGTCCGAAAATACCGCTGACGATAACTTGTTCTACAGATTAGTTGTGTAAAGCTGAAAATATTTTGCTACACACAAGTTACGCCATGCATTTGGTGCATTGGCAGACTTAATGCCAAAGGCATTCTCTACCAACCAACCATTGGGTGATGCAGAGAAATCAGGAAGTAAGCAAGAATTATCGTGTGGAACGATGGCGGAAAGTTGCGGTTTTAGTTCAAACAATTCCTCGGAACTTCGCTTATATACCATAAAACAAATATTAAGCTATTGCATAGCTTCTATCGAGGGCCTTGAGCGCGGGGACCGAATCCAGAAATTCCGTAACGAAAAAAAACCTCACGCTAAAAACAAAACAAAAAACAGTACCAAAATCAAATGCTGAACGTCAAAGGAAATTTCGTCAACATAATGCAGAAAAATCTTACATGGATATGTAATTTGATTTAATAATAATATTTTTTATTTATTTATTTAAAAACAAATTGTAATATATGCTTCAATATTTTTATTTAATAAAAGAAAAAAAATTGTTTTCTTATCGGTCACCACGCTCAAAAAGTGTAACTTGAATTAATATCAAAGAAAAAGAAATACTGCATAAATAAAATAAATAAATAATTATAATTGCATAAGTTGATACAAAATGCTATGCAATAGCTTTACCGCGGCAGTCCCCGAGTGCCACACGTCTTTTTTTTTATTTATACTACCCCTGATTTGTTCTAGTGCAAGTGATGGGATTATGATCAAGGACGAGCCGGTGGTGGTTAATGCTGAGTTTGATTTCAATTACGACGTTCAGAAGATTGAAATTGACGGTAAGTTTATAATACTTTATGTAACATAACCTATAGTCTATTCGCGTTATTATTATTGTACTTCTTTTTACTTCTATACCGTTCTAGAATAATTTTATAATATCCACTGCACGGATGGGGTAGTGGTTTAAGCGGCCATCTCTCCGCTTCATACTGAGTGAGTGTTGTGGGTTCGACCCCCCCATGGGACAACACTTTGTGTGATACAAAGTTATTGTTCTGAGTTTGTTTTATGGTATAAGGGGGCAAACGAGCTGATGGGTCACCTGATGGTAAGCAACTACCGCCGCCCATGGACACCAGCAACTCAAAAGTGACAAGTGCGTTGCTGCCCTTGAGTCTACACAGGATATATTCCTAGTGCAAGAGTTCTCTCTATAAAAATATATTTTTTCTTCCTAGAACACATCCCTGACCCAGAATATGCAGAAGAAGCGACGACCCTCGAGTACTCCACAAAGGTTTTAGAAGAAGATATTTCCAGAAGTGCAGAAGGGTCCACACCGGAGAACGAATTTGATAAATTCTTATCTGAACAAGTTAAAAATCAACCTTCCTGTCAAGGTATGTTTATCTTCTGAACACTTATGGTTCCAATTAAAAATTATTTCAGTGTTTTATAGTCCATTTATCAAAGAGGCTAATATAACATCAAGCTTCGACCAATAACGGCCGAGGATCAATGAAAAAATGATGCAAAAACGGGGAAAATTTATTAGTTTTGAGAGATGCAGAGAAATTACCGCGTGTCAGCTTGTGTTCTGCAATATCAGAAGTCGCGAATTCCGTTCCCGTTCAGTTTAAATATAATAATAATATTGTACCACATTAACACAACGCCATCTAGTCCCAAACTAAGCAGAGCTTGTACTAATGGTACTAGACAACTGATATAAATACATATATACTTTTTTTTTTTGTAAATACATATATATTATACATAGAAACACCCAGACCAAATCAAACATTAAATGTTCATGCACACAAATGTTTGACTTGAGCGGGAATCGAACTCATCGCCGAACGCCATCCGGTCGCCATATTTATTGCATGTTGCCCTCATTGTAACATATAGAAGGTCAAAAATCCGAAAGTTATTTAAAATTGAAATTGAATCCGTGTAAAGACGGTTTATAAATACGGAGAGTCACCACCCCTATTCATCCCGTGGGTGTGACTATGGGAGCAAACTATGCAGGACAACAGCACTGCAGAGAGAAGGAAAACTTGAAACAAACCCTATACCAACCCGTCTGGCCAGCGTGGTATAGTAGGCCAAAACCTCCTTTCTAAGGAGAGGCCTATGTCCAGCAGTGGACTGCGATAGGCTGATGATGAACCTTCGTCAACAGCCTTTACTAGTCCACTGCTGGAAATAGGCCTCTCCCATTGCACGCCACTTAGATCGATTTTGGGCTTCGAAGGTTGGTTGACGAAGGTTAGTAGGAGAGAAAATAGTAGGAGAGGCATAATACCAATACGGATGGATTGGGAGGAATAAGCTATATCTTTCTCTCTCTCTCTCTTTCTCTCTCTGGTCATTTTCTAATAAATCTATTTTATTTCGTTATCTTGTTTTCTACAATAGATACGCCAGAATACGTAGATGCAGAGACAACTCTAGCTTATTCAGAGAGAGTTCTAGAGGAAGATCTTTCTAGAAATGTACTAGAAAGGGAGAAACATGAGGTACCGGATAACTCTTTCGATGAATTCTTTCTTCATCAAGTTATGAATAAACAGAAAAAAAAAGGTTGGTTTAATATTTTATTGATCTTTTTATCTTATTTGTAACTGTTGTAATACAGAGTGTCACCACCCCTATTCATCCCGTGGGTGTCGTAAGAGCCGACTAAGGGAGCAAACTACGCAGGACAACAGCATTGCAAAGAGAAGGAATACTTGAAACAAACCCTATACCAACCCGTCTGGCCAGCGTGGTATAGTAGGCCAAAACCTCCTTTCTGAGGAGAGGCTTATGCCCAGCACTGGACTAGTAAAGGCTGATGATGATGATGATGTATCTTATTTATATATTTTAAAATTACTTGCCCTGACTGATTCAACAACGCAGAGCCTAAAACGCTGGGGCTAAAGAACTTGACATTTTGGTATCCGATGCTTTTTATGTTGTAAGCACCCACTAACATAAGATTTTCGGGAATATCGCCTTTAAGGGGGTAAAATGAGGGTCGTCATTTTAAACTTAGTGGTAGTAGGTAGGTTTTCAATTTAGTTGTATTTTTAACCGACTTCAAAAAAGGAGGAGGTTCTCAATTCGACTGTATTTTTTTTTTATGTTTGTTACCTCATAACTTTCGACTGGGTGAACCGATTTTGATGATTCTTTTTTTATTGGAAAGCTGATGCTTCCCGTGTGGTCCTATTTCAATTTGGTCTAGTTCTGACCATGGAATCCATGAGAAAACCATTGAAGTCGGTTTTTTTGTTAAAATTTTACTTGTGTTTATTTACCCAGAAGGAAGGTTATGTTTATCAAGTTTATTTTATTTATATATTTACTGTTTACAGTTAACACGTAAGACATTACAAATAGACGTAACAATCGGCGGTCTTATCGCTCACGGCGATCTCTTACAGACAACCTTAATACGGATAATAGATATATAAAAATTAAAAAAAACTAAAAAACACGTTTTTAATAAAAAAAAAACAAACTAACAAATAGAAAATAAATTTTAATAAATTTGAAAAAATAACGTGGGGTGCTTTTTACTATTGACAACAGGCACCCAACGTTTTTTTTTTTTAATTTAAATTAGTGTATTGTCATCGGTCCTCGATATATCTACAAAGTTTGAACGAATTCTGACCGTTTAAAGTCAGTCAAAATCACGCCCAAAGGAGTCGGTTAAAACATACAAACATTCAAGTGAAGCTAATATAAAGCGTGTAAAACGTTAATGTATGTATGTATTGGTTAAATGTATTTTGGCGTTTGAGGTCTTAATTATGACAGTGACACTGGGTATATGTAAATCATAAAAATTTAAGCGCTGTTTTTTTAATTTTAACTACCTCCACATTTGACTGGCCTGTTGGTCTAGTGGTTAGTGACCCTGACTGCTACTCCAGAGGTCGTGGGTTCGATTCCTATCCAGGACAAATGATTGTGTGATGAGCACGGTCATTTGTTCTGTGTCTGGGTGTAATTTATCTATAATATGTATGTATTTAGAAATATATAAGTATGTTTATCAGCAGTCTGGTTACCATAGTACAGGCTCTGCCTAGTTTGGGATCAGACGGCCGTGTGTGAGATGTGTGAAAATATTATTAAAATATTATTTACCCGCAGTCAGATATTTTTGCTTTTCCAAAATTTGATTGTTTCTATTTCAGTTCTGCCAAAACAAATAATGAAAAAATCCGATAGACGTAAAGTTGAAACGGTGAAGAAGAAAATAAAGACGTTGCTCAGCGAAACCAGATCGCGCAGGGAAGTGGAGAACTTGGATAAGATAAGACAGATGTATAACAAGAGAATTGAATCGGCGCATAAGAGTGTCGGGAGGAAAGGTAAAATTGTTTGAAGTTAAACTTAGACTCCATGATATCAGTCTTTGGCAGCTCTGGATCCAGTGTGATTGTGGACTGGACTCGAAGTGGATTTACTGTATTTCCAACTCCTCCAATTTTCTTCTGATTAATTTCGTTGCGGGTTCCCAGACAGTTAAATCTCTTGCTGAGAGTTCCCGAGTGTTATAACTCGGTGTGTTCGTGGGTCACTGCTGTGGATCCTGGTGTACAGGAGTTACAGTGGTGGGCTTGTGGGTGGGATTAGTCCCAAAAAAAAAGCTTTTTCGAACCGGGGTAGGAACTTGATAGTGGCGCCCCTCTCTCCAGCGTTTGAGATAAATTATTTAAAAAACTCACAAATATATAAGTTAGGCCTGTGTGGAACCTTTTACTTACAAGTCGACGGTGAGCCAACCAGGCTTCCGTATGCTAGGCGCTTTGTGGATCAAGTTTTTTTATTTTTAATCATACTATATTATGATTTTGGCGCCCCCTGAAACTGCCACCCGGGGCGGGTGCTCCGGTTTGACCACCCTCCTTGATCCGGGGCTGGTCTTTAGCGCTCCTTGGGGGAGGCCTTCGTACAGATGGCTCTCCCACAATATCTACAGTTACAAGAAAATTTATGTTATTTTTTTTTATATTTTAGAATCAACGAAAATTACGTACTTTAAAAAATCACAAAACGTTCAGAATAATCATAATTTAGAAACTGGTAAAAGAAACATAGAAAATAATGAAAACATACAAAATGATAAACTCACTAATGATAATTCTGATAATCATTCGTTACGCAAAGATGGACGTGTTAATGATACACAAAATAATTTACTAGAATGTAATAAAACACAAAATGGAACTACACAAAATGATATGAATCATAATCCGCTTAGTGATAAATGTGATGCGATACAAAATGATAACTCTGATATATCACAAGGTGATAAACGTGATAGTGATACCTCTCGAAACGAAAAAGACACATCAGATATCACAGAAATGGTACAAAATGACAGAAATGAAAATAACACTACTGTTTATAATATACCAATCGCACAACGTATTACTAGCAAGAGAAATAGATTAAGAAAGCGCAAAGTGATGAGATATAGAGATGATGGTGATAAGAATGATAGTGATTATGTGTGTTCTGATGAGGATAATAATAAAAATGGGAAAATAACATTTGATGGACATGAATGTTATATTTGTTTCAAGGTGAGTTCATTTTTTATTTTTGGGGGTCTACGATTTCCTTCCTAGGGTACACCTGGTTTCCTGGCTACTTGTTGATGTTTTTAGTCGGTTAGAGTCCGACACAACCACCGGTGGGTGGTATTCGAAGGGATTTCCCACAGAAAAATAAAATAAAAGAGAGGGGGGTCGACAAGCAGACTGGTCACCTGATGGTAAGTGATACCACCGCCAATGGACACAAGTCACAAGTGAGTTTCCGCCCATTCAGCCCTCACCTCCAGAATCAAGGGGATTTGGGCTCTGGTAACCTCACTCATCATCATCATCATCATCAACAGCCTATACTAGTCCACTGCTGGACATAGGCCTCTCCTTAGACACTAAACCTAACCTCACTCACTCAGAGGAAACCACCAAAACTTAACACGGGTTTATGTGAGGCAGTGGCATCACGCGAGCACGTACATGTCTTTGAATCGTCTGATATTTAGGCAGTAGTCACAGACTGTACACGTCATTACGTCAATTCTTGTAAAATAAAAGCCCATCAAAAATCAGTTCTTTTCAACTTTCGGTCTCAGAAATGTTATAAAAGGTATTCTCGTAGTAAATTATTAAACATCCTACGTTCCTGTAATGTGATTATATCGTCACATCATCACATCATCAACAGCCTTTAATAGTCCACTGCTGGACATAGGCCTCTCCTTAGAAAGAAGGTTTTGGCCTACTATACCACGCTGGCCAGGCGGGTTGGTATAGGGTTTGTGTCAAGTTTTCCGTCTTTTTGTAGTGCTGGTGTCCTGCGTTGTTTTGCGCTCTTAGTCGGTTCTTACGACACCCACGGGATGAATTGGGGTAGTGACATTCCGTATTCTTAATCCGTCACTACACGGACAACGATTATATCGTATTGTGAGTGAAAGTTGAATCGGTATTCTGCTAGTCTGAATTTACTACAACAATAACTTTTATGACATTTGTGAGGTCGAGAAAACCGGTGTTAAGCAATTCTTTCGTTGCCTTTTACTGAGTCAGTGAGGTGACCGAAGCCCAAATCCCCCCTCCCGCTGACTCGAGCGGGAGGGACTCCAAGGGCAGCAACGCACTTGTAACTTTTGAGTTGCAGGTGTCCATGGGCAGCGGTAGTTGCTTACCATCAGGTGACCCGTCTGATCTTTTGCCCCCTTATAAAATAATAAAAAATAAAGTGAGTAGGTCTTCAGGTATTGAAAGAGCCATGTTTCGGCCATAAATGGGTTGGTTCGATCGGAGTGAGCAATATTACTCCGGTCGAGCGAGCGTGGGCAAGGACGAAGCATGGCGCCCGCACAGTTACATTTAAATTAACATATCTTTTTCAGCTATTCAAAACGAAGGAGGACTTAAAAACCCACTGCAGCGAACACTTTGACATTTGCAACGAAAAAATGCTAAAAAAATGCCCATTCTGCGGTTTCGTAACAAATCTCAATATAAAAAAACACGTTGAAATAGCTCACAAAATAAACATTAGTTACGCGTACGGACATATGACGGAGAAAGCTGGTAGCGCCAGTAACGGATCTAAGTACGTTCTCGAATTAAACAATCATCGAGAATTAGAAGTGATTCCTAGTATAAGTAACTTAAATAAAATCGCTTGTATGAAAAACGATGAAAAAAATCGACTAAATAAAGATAAGTTTATAGGTAAAACAAAGTTAGTAAAAAAAGGTCGCGAGTGGGTAGTTGAAAAACAAGCGGTCAATCTAAGTAACGAATATTTGTTACCGGAATTTACCGAAGATGAATATTTAAAGTTGAAACTTGAAGGTGACACTTACTTGGACGGGATAAAAAAGCTGAGTCGTTTGGCCAAAAAGCGTGGTCTCAAAATGCTGTATCCTTGTGGGGGTTGTGAAAAAATTTGTCAGTCGCTTGCCGCCCTTAAGTTGCATAATAGAAAACACGAAAAGAATCCTAAACGTTTCAAACCTAAGGTTTGGATCAATAGACACATTGAATATAAAACGAAAAATCGTAAAAAGCATAAAAATAAAGAGAGAGCGTCTGCTCAAAAACCGGATCGGCAAATACCGGCTAAAAAAACCGGTAAAGAGTGTACTGTTACGGAAAATCGTTTCGCGTCACCCCAACCGGTTAAAAATAAACATAAATGTGATAAACAATTGATTGAATTCTACAAATCTAATATAAAAGGCGGTGATATTGAATTTTGGCAATTTTTAAAAATATTTAACAAAATGAGTCGTGAAAACGTCAATGATTTTGACGATTTAGAAAATAGAAATGATTTACATTTCGGTTTACACTATAAAGAGCAAAACCAACCGGTAATTACCGAAAGCGAACCGGTAAAAACAAAGGTGCGTCCGATATTAGCGGAAAAAGAATCGGTACATACCGAAAAGATATCTGTCACACCAAAAAACACTAGAACAATTAGAAATAATAAAAGTAAAAACTATACTAGAGCAATAATGATTAGTAGAAAAGACTATAAGAGACGGCAGGAAATTAAGAACCAAATGAGAAAGAAATTAGAAGAGAGTAGAATGTAATTTTTATATACTACCTGACTCTTATGCTAGGTAATTGGTAGCAGAATGCAGGAGACCGAAATTTTCTTCTATTGGTACTGTAGAAAACAAGCATACGGCTTGCCTATGAACGCTTGTAATTCCATAAATTCAACTCGCATGTTCTAGCACTCATATTACAAGTTATGATAGTTTGGGTCGAGTCAGCATTTCAAAATGCAATTTTTTATTTTCAAATTATTTCTAGTTTTAAATTATCAGAAGATTTATAAATCATAATTATTACGGACAAGTAAGACTTCTCTGAAAAAATCTAAATTAAGTCCAAATACTCGAAATACTTCTATTAGTTTTTATATTTATCAGAAGATCTTCTGATAAATCAATAATATTTTAGGTTGTATCTACTATTTACTTAGAAAATAATTTTTAGGTTTTTTTTTATATACAAGGAGAGATTTATTTATGTTTTGTTCTTGAAAATATGTGTTCATTGCTATATAGGATTATATAATCTATACAATTGTAATAAAGAGGTTTTCTGTTTGTGTTGAACTACCCGTTGAACTGGAAAAAAAAATTAGGTTATTTAGAGAACATCACGCTAAGACTTTTAGGAGGTAATCAGAGACCATAAATCGGGTAATCTCACATATATTGCGTAATTAGATCACGCGGTGAATTCATGAGAACTATTATTTGGTCCGACTTAGGGGGTAAGTTTTTTCCGTCAACCATTAAGGGTACATCAACAGCCTTTACTAGTCCACTGCTGGACATAGGCCTCTCCTTAGAAAGGAGGTTTTGGCCTACTATACCACGCTGGCCAGACGGGTTGGTATAGGGTTTGTTTCAAGTGGTCCTTCTCTCTGCAGTGCTGCAATCCTGCGAGTTTTCTTCCTTAGTCGGCTCTTACGACACCCACGGGATGTATAGGGGTGGTGACACTCTGTATTCTTAATCCGTCACCACACGGACTATTAAGGGAACATTAAAAGGTAAATGAGAAGTTAAGAAAGGATTTTTGGAATTTGTTGTTGTTGTAAAAAGCAGGGATGAGGGTATGGAAATTCAACATTTTCATAGTTAGAAATAAACTAGCGAGCTAACTTCCTAAATTGAAAAATATACTTTTACTGAACTTAGTCCAAGTGACTTTTATCAATCTAGTTTTAAGTACTGTTTTATTTAAATAAATTAAATTTGTTATTATTACATTGTTTTATTTATTATTGTCTTTATAGTGTAAGGGCAGACGAGAGGAGACGGGTTACCTAATGGTAAGTGGCTACCACCGTCCATAGAATGCCCCCCAGATAAAGGAGGGGTAACCTCACTCACTCGCTGAAAAGCCAAGCTTAACACAAGTTTTGTGTGAGGATGCAGTATCGAGGTCTTGAAGTTATATCTGTCAGTCTCCATGTATCTGAAAATAACAAAATAAATAATAATATTTTCGGACATCTGACACACAACGCCATCTAGTTTCAAACTAAGCAAAGCTTGTACTATGAAAGCTAGATTGACTGATATAATACTTTTTTTATGTAAATACATATATATATATACATAAATATTATACATAGAAAACACCCAAACTCCAAAAACAAATATTGCAGATCATCCAAACATTTGGTCCAACCCAGGCATCAAACCTAAATAAATGTGACCATTGACAATTTCAGGGTGAATGGATATCTGTGTAAAATTTATTTCCTCAGGATATGTAGATTTTTGGCAGAGACCTTCAAACCTTCAAAAAAAGAGTGTACTCCTTTCTAAAAGGCCGGCAAATGTTCATGGGCGGCGATGGTCACTTTCCATCAGGTGACCCGTCTGCTCGTTTGCCCCAGCAAACATAAACAAAAACTCTGAGTACCATAGTACAGGCTGTTTGATAACAAACGACTCCGTGTGAGATGTGTAAGGTTATTATTATTTAATTAAAAATAATAAATCATAAATAAATATGTCAACTTTCTGTAAGTTAATAAAAAAATATCTCACACATCTCCCACACGGCCGTCTGATCCCAAACTAGGCAGAGCCTGTGCTATGGTAACCAGACTGCTGATAAACATACTTATATATTTCTAAATACATACATATCTATATATATATATATATAAGAGATTTCCACGTATATAGTCACTTATCACGATATCTCTGGCACCATTAGAGCTAAAGACTTGAAATTTGGTAGGAATATTCTTTTCAACGAGTAGAGGTCAGCTAAGAACGGATTTTACGAAATTCCACCCCAAGAGAGCTGTGCAAAAAATTGGCAAAACAACGTTTGCAGGGTCAGCTAGTTATAGATAAATTACACCCAGACACAGAACAAATGACTATGATCATCACCCAATATTTGTCCTGGGTGGTCCATCACGTGCCTCGTCTGCTCGTCTGCCCCCTCTAACATAACAAAAAAACACTTATGCCATGTGGTGATATTAGAGAGAAAAAGAATGCATATAAAATACCCACTGCTTCACTTATATCAATCCAGTCCATTGCTCTGACGATGTTGTCATTTTGTGATGGTTTCTTATTCCAGTTCCAGTTGGTAAAATATTTGAAACCACCGGCAACCTGCAAGAAAACAACTATATAGTTTTTTTTTTTTTTTTTAATAATAACTTCACGCATCTCACACACGGCTGTCTGATCCCAAACTAGGCAGAGCCTATACTATGGTAACCAGACTGCTGATAAACATACTTATATATTTTTAAATACATACATATCTATACTAATATTATAAAGCTGAAGAGTTTGTTTGTTTGTTTGAACGCGCTAATCTCAGGAACTACTGGTCCGATTTGAAAAATTCTTTCAGTGTTAGATAGCCCATTTATCGAGGAAGGCTATAGGCTATATATCATCACGCTAAGACCAATAGGAGCGGAGTACCAATGAAGAATGTTTTAAAAACGGAGAAAATTTATTACTATTGAGAGACGCAGACGAAGTTGCGCGGGTCACCTAGTTATAGATAAATTACACCCAGACACAGAACAAATGACCGTGCTCATCACACAATATTTGTCCTGGGTGGGAATGGAACCCACGACCTCAGTTTTAGCAGTCAGGGTCACTAACCACTAGACCAACAGGCCCGTCAGGTCAAACATGTATGTTATCTTACTACTTGTGGTGTATGTTATGACGGTAGTTGTAACTATTTTTATGTAGCTGGGTCATTACGCTTGTTGGGCACGCCGTTATCGCGGCGGTAAGACCCGTAATGGAGGGATTTCCTGCCTAGGGTACACCTGGTTCCCGGCAACTGGTATCCGAGGCGGCGTGCGGTTTTTGGTCGGTTCGAGTCCGACATATAAACCGGTGGGTGGTATCCTAGGGGATTTTATTTAATATTTCGGACATTGACACACAACGCCATCTAGTTTCACTCGCTGAAAAGCTAAGGAAAAATTGCCCAACACAATTTTTGCGTAAGTGTTATACCAGCAAAATCCCTCTATAACCTGCTTAAAAACCTTGATTTGTAAGTCAGGCCTTAAGCTTTTTCACAATGAAAATAACGCTTTACCTGAAACTTCCGTTCTGCATTTTCAGCGAGTGGCCTCTTAGCTTCAGTCACAACTATGGCTTTATAACCTTCAGGGATTGGAATTTTAACACCATCCAGAGGATGTCCTCGAAATGATGCAGACAGTTCTAAAAAAAAGGATTAAGATAAACAAAGACTGTTGACAAATAATTAAGAGATATAATAATATTCTCACGCAGTCCCCATCCCAAACTAGGCAGAGCCTAAACTAATGTAACTGGACTAAAAACCACTGAACTATCTCGTTGTCTTGTTTATCATCTAAGTCAAGGATTCCTCTGCCTGTACTATGGCAACCAGACTACTAAATCACTAAAATATCTAGTTTTCTTGTTTATTATCTAAATCAGGGATTACCAAACAATTTTGGGCAAGAGACCCCTTTTCTAAAATGAACTTATACCTTAGGCCCCCACAGCTAAATTACTGCACGGTTATTGACTTGTTGAGTTTTTTAAAAGTACAACAATGATACTTCCTACTAAAATATTGGTCATTCTTATAACAAGTTTTTGACATAAATTAAAACTGATTACGGGGGTTGATGAGTTATAAAAACCAACCATATTAATTACAACAAGTTATTATTTTAAACTTTAGTCATTCTTATAAAAACTTGGTACACATACGTGAACTTTTAATACTTTTAATTTATGTCAAAACCTCGGAAACTTGATTTGCAAAACCCTGATCTTAATCACCGATGCGTGATCTACCCAGATCAGTTCATCGTCTTCAAACAGAGCCGTTCTCTTTACAGATAGAGACAACTTAGGTTGTTGATAGGCTCTGTTCAACACAATAACACCCTGATAAACATACTTAAATATTTACAGACTAAACAAGCAGTACCATACCAGGCCTCGCTATAGAACATAGTGGCAAAATCAATCATTGAAGTGTTTATATTGTGTCAAAATTTGAGAGCTCAATTGGTGCAGAGCTTTTGGAGTATTTGAAGCAAAATTTTAAAAGTTTCTTCTGAGAGGAAAAATAGCCTAAGTTACTACTTATGTAGACAGCTATCCCGTAATAACCATGTGAGCATGTAACAAACCTATTATTTTGACATTACAAACCAACACTTCGATTTTATTTATTTGTATAGATTACAGATTAGACTAAATGATCATCACACAATTATATGTCCTGGGTGGGAATCGAACCCACAACCTCCGGCACACACAAACCACGGAAAACTATAGAACTACATTTCGTATTACTTACCTCCATTTTTATCTTCAATGTAAGGTTCGAAGTATTTCTTTACGTTCGCTGGCCCATCGTCTTCAATCTTACACGGTATATAATGTGCTTTTTGTTCAAATAATTCTTTGTTTTCGGTGGTTTTTAAATTATTTTCTACAATTATTGACATTTTAAATTCTACAATACAAACAAATCAGTATGTTCAAATTTCTATTTAAAGTTTTGATTTAATTAATGGCTTTCTGTATGCTAGCTGTAAATGAGTTCCTTTTTTATTATATTATTGTGTTTTAAAAGCATTTCTCGTAATAAACCTGACATATGACATTCATCAATTGTCATAATTTCGGCGGTTTAAATATTTAAAATTAAGGTTAGGTACTGTTTATGACAGTCGTTTTGTTGAAAAACAAATACAATAATAAAATTTTCATTTTTTCATGAGAGTAATAAACATTTAACTTTATTGATAAATATTAATAATGCATAGATTGCTGTTACTATCTATCTTGACAATATAAAATGATAAGAGAAAGTAAACTCCACCTAGCTTTGAACCCTTGAAATTTTATACTGGCATTTAGAAAATGCCGTTAGTACATATCGATCTTATGACTTCGCATAAATAATTTTCAAAAACTTATGAAATCACAATAGAAAATCAATATCAATACAAAATTTTCTCAATAAACTAATAATAAGCTTCATAAACTCGTGACATTGTTCTTAAGGCCCCTATACACATTGGGACAACCTCTTGGCATAGCATATTCGACGAAAGTGTAGAGATCCACTTCACTGGTTTCATGTTTGTAGTTGGCGACAACACTGGCCCGCTAACCGAATAGTGTGGGTTTTCCTTAAAAATTAAACGGACTAAATAAATTGCCCTGGCCGCAAGAGTATCCACATCCATTTTTCTCAGAGCGCCAATGATCAGTACGTTAATGTGTATATAAAATCTAAGGGTCAATAGGGAATATGCACGTGACACTAAAATGGACAAAATATTTTTATTTGTAATTTTTATTGCTAAAAAAAGATACACATACAATTATTTTTGAAATTTATTATAATTTAATAGTGAAATTTAATCATCAAAAATTGGCTTTTTTAAGATTCCCTCGCAAATTTCTAAAACGCAACGCTATTGGTTGAATGAAACGTGACGTCAACCTACACTGTCAAGAGTGTCAACAAGTTGTGTGTATTTGTAATATTTGGTTTCTGGTGATTATTTGTTTCATTTTAAGTTAATAACTAATACGTTTTCAGTGTTAAATTATTAAATTCCCGTGTACAAAGACTCAACACAATGACTGAATATACCTACTTTGTCAGGTACAGTTTTGATATTATTTGGGCACAAAGGAACCGCACAATATTTATAATAAGTTTTTATTGGCTTTCCATGGTAATAAGTTAATTTTTATCATTCACTTTTTTAACTGTTAGAAACTTTGTGAACTTCACTCCGTTGTTGACATCGAATTCTGATCCGTTCCGTTGTTGATATCTGACGTCACAAAAAAAGCGCACCAAAATGGACGTGTTCAAATTGCCCCAAAATGATAGTGATATTAATAAAATTTTTTTTTGCTTAACAGTTTATATTTCGGCTGGGTTATATTTATTTTTGGTAATGTAATAACGAGTAGAATCGTTTAAAAAAATAAAAAAGATACATGCATATTCCCTATTCTCGCAATAAAAATTCCTACAAAATTCAGTTCCGATTTACTCTCGCTCTCATAAATGTCATAAAAGGTATTTTGTTTGAAAATTGTTTATATTACTAAGACTAAGAAATTACCGACTGAACTTTCGGTCACAATGCGCTACATTCACAGTTAACGTTGGATATTTAATGATTTCCTGATCATCGTCCTACTGATATTTTCGCCCCACATGCTGGGCCAGCACCTTAGCCTAATGTGTGCAGCGGCCTTTAGTTAGAATGTATTCTTGCCATAAAAAAAAATAAAGGTTGTGTTTTAGAAAATGTCAAACAAAATGTTCAGTGTAATTCATGACGAAATTTTCGCAATCGTAATGTAATTATCTTATCGGGATTAAACAAAACTACCATTATTTTCTATTTAATAACATTCGATTCTTATTGTGTGACGTGTTTAGTCGGATAAACAAGTACAATAATAGTAATGTTCTCAGCTAGTCTCCGTGGGTTGTATACATAATATTTGTTCAGTTGTAAATATTTTATTTACGTCATTTTAAATAATTTGGCTGTGTTCCTGTGTTTGTGGTGTGTTTATTGACTCACAATACACTCAGAAGTTTAGTTGGCAACAAGCTATTACAGCGACCTTGACTATAACAGCTGTTACTGTGAGTACCTTTGCATTTAATTTAAATAAATTAAAAAAAAAAAACTTTTTAATCCAGCTATCTCTAGAAATCTATTGTTTTTCAAAATATTTTATAAAATTATTTTTGGCGGGTATTTTTGTTGTGTTTATGTAAGACCTTGAATCTAAACAAAGGCGATTGTATTCTGATTGCATAAATGAAAGTCATTTGCTTCTTAGTCTGTATAATGAAATACTAACGTAGTTATTAAAGTTTGACCTCCATTATTATATACTGAGCAATACACATACAAAATTATTTTAATCTTATAAAAGATTTAACATACCTACTTAAATAAAAAAAAAACGATTTAATTTTATTTGCAGTTTTCATAAATAATCAACTTATTTATAGTCTCAGAATCTGTTTTTGTTTTGAAATATCTTCGAAAAAGGGATTTGTTACCTTCAAAATCTCTATTAAATTAATTTATTTTTATTTTGGAGGGTATACTCCTCCTTTGGTCTCATTTGGTTTAAAAAAGAAATACTACCTTACTACTACCTATTACATACCAGGGTACCAAATTACATCATGTTGTAGGTGCTTTGAATTTGTTGTGAATCATTACCAATATTATTTTATTGGGGTAAATTATGGCTAAATTTACAAAATATAATATATGATGTAATTTTACTAAGTGCCATTTACAAGCATCTTCAAGTGGAAAAGGAGTGCTGATACATACTAAATAGACTTATTTTTATTTTTTAAAGACAACACACACTAGTTATATGTATATCCCGTGTTGTCAGAGACTTTACAACAATTCATGAAACAGACACAAAGAACACAGACTCAGAATGACATTTGTGCAGTCTTTTAGACTAAAATATACATAATTTATTAAAATAATTTAGGAGTTAAAGACATATTTGACTTTTTTGGTGCTTCTACAGAATAAATCAATAATATAAATAATTAATTGATTATAAAAAGTTAAAGTTTGAGTTGGTATGAATGTACGGATGGTGTAGTGGTTTAAGCGGTCGCCACGCCGCTTCCTACTATGCCTAGTGTTCTGGGTTCAAACCCCACATGGGACGACACTTTGTGTGATCCACATATTGTTGTTCTGAGTCTGGGTGTTCTTTGTGTCCGTTTCATGTATGTTTGTAAAGTCCCCTGCGACACAGGATTTATTCCTAATGCGGGCGTTGTCTTTTTAAAAAACAAAACAAAAACAAAGTATGTTTGGGGTAAGCTACTAATTGGATTTTCTTTGCTTTGACTGTTAGGAAGGTATAAATAGGTAAATAATATGTTACCACATTCACACAACACCCTCTAGTCCTAATCTAAGCAGAGCTTGTACTATGGGAACTAGACAACTGATATAAATACATATACACTTTTTTTTTGTAAGTACATACATATTATAACACCAAGACAAATTTAAAAATTAAATGTTCATGCACTTGACTTATACTTGGGGAATAATATCTGTTTTAAAATCTTTTCTACATGTCTTTTCCCTAACTTTTCTTTTAGTGCTATTCTCAAAACTACCCATATGTTTTGCAAAATTACTTAATACCACTAAAATATAGAGGCCAGGAACTGTAAGAATTCCTAGGCTTGTGAAATATGGTCAACAACTTTCTCTTTGTGGCACAAATAAAAGCTCTTTGCATATCTTAATTTTGATTCCACAAGCACATAGTACACCATTTTTAGTCTTTCTATATCTAGTTCATTGCACAAACCACTGTGCCATCCGGTCGTCAAGTATATTAATCCCTGAGTGCTATAGACTGCTTTGTACTAGGCAAAAGCCCATTTTTACATTTCAAACCTTATTTATTAGAGAGGAACTGGTACCCAAAATACTAGTTAAATCTTAAAGTGGGTACCATAGCCTGACTCTAGTGTAAATAATTTAAAGAAATGCTGTTGTACCGGAAATTCTATACTCAATTTGGTGTAAATAAATGTTATTATAGAAAAAATAATAGGTTTTCTACAAAGTTTAAATCAATAACAAAAATTGACCATGAACTTGTAAATTATGAATAACGTTTTTATAATTGATGAGGCAATATCTAAAGTTAAAAATATATATTTTTATGCTTACTGATATTATTAAATTAGTCATGTCAAAACTATTGCCTTGAGTAATATATAATTATGTTTACGTAAACTGCATGGATAGCGTAGTAGTTTAAGCGGTCACCTCGCCGCTTTCTACTGCACTGAGTGTTGTGGGTCCGATCTCTCTCAGGGTCTACGACAACACTTTGTGTGATCCGTTTTATGTATGTTTGTACTGTATGTATGTATATTCAATTCAATTCAATTCTTTATTAATAAAATATAAGCATCACAGTATACACCAAATCGCTTATATCTATGCTAATTTTAACAAAAATAAACTAAATACATACTATTACAATTGTAAAATCAGACCATCAAAAAGAAACAACATAAAATTTGTAAACAGAAACAACCTTACATCAACTTAGGAACTATAAAATTACTCTTTAAAATTTAGATATGTATAAATATGTTTTAAAATTATGCTTTGGGAGTCGAAAAATATATCTGCATCTGGACTATACTGAAGGAACTCATTGATAAGCCTAATTGCTATAGCAGTGGGGCTATGGTCAGCCTGGGGAGAGCGCCACGTAGGCGGACAGCACAGGAGTCTATGTTGTCGTCTTCCAACGGCACGCATATATTGGTCGGGAACATAAAAATGTATTGTTTCCCGCACAACAGTGTATGTGTACGGGGACTTCCCCGCGACACAGGTTTTATTCCTAGTGCGAGAGTTGTCTTCTTAAAAAAACATACTCA